CTAAAAGATCATGTGCATTTATTAGGAATTCTGAAAACTGAAAAGAACTATGTTAGCCTTAAATGCTTTAAAGAGATATTCTTAAAATTTATGTGGGGTGCATACTCATCATGGCTAAAGGCAGTATTTTCAGTGTTCAGGAATGTTTATGGAATCACAGCATGACAGAGCTGGAAAAGATACTTCAGATTATCTTCAGATCCTCTTTTGGTGGCTAAAGAACACAGACTGAGAGATGTTAATTGAATTGCCCAAGATTCTGAATAAAATGCAATTAAATTAAATTAATTCAAATTACCTAAATTAGTTTGACTGGATATCTCTTCCTGATATGCCTGATAGTTTTTAGCCCTATTTAGTGTTTGCCAAACTTTTCCTGTAAAGGGCCAGATAGTAAATATTATAGACTTTTCAGGCCACAGGATCTCTGTAGCAAGTACTCATGTCTGCTGCTGTAGTGTACAAGTAGCCCTTCAGGGCTGGTGCGGTGATTTATTTACACCTGTGAACCAGCACTTTGGGTGGCCTAGGTGGAAGGATCACTTGAGCCCAGGAGTTTGAGACCAGCCTTGGCAACATGGTGAAACCTCATCTTTACAAAAAATACAAAAATTAGCTGGGCAAGGTGGCAGATACCTATAGTCCCAAATACTCCAGAGGCTGAGGTGAGAGAATCTCTTGAGCCCAAGAAGTTGAGGCTCCAGAGAGCTGAGATCATACCACTGCCTTCCAACCTGGGTGACAGAGGGAGACACCATCTCAGTGAACCAGCCAACCAACCAACCACAAAACCAAGTAGCTCTTTAGACAACATGTAAATGTGAGAGCTTGTCTGTGTTTGCAGGTCATCTCAAGAGGTTTTCCTGAACAATATGCTCTCCTGGAAGATCATGTTATAGTTTGTTGTGTAATTAGTTCCTATTGTGGAATTCTCCAAAATCACCGTTGTTCACATTTGCAGCAAAAATGTAGGCTAGGCTATGTTGCCAAATTTTAAAATATCCATTATATAGGCACTGGGTTCTTCAACATTTTTTTTCTTTTTTCTTTTTTTTCTTTTTAAAGTTTCGTTGCAAAACTGACAAATGTATTCCATTCTGGTGGAAATGTGACACTGTGGATGACTGTGGTGATGGATCTGATGAACCTGATGACTGTCGTGAGTATACTGGCAAATGTTGAAATTTAGAGTTTAGAGTCCCTTATGTCCCAGACCTGGAAAATTGAAACTACACCTAAAGTATTGCCTTCTGACACTTTTCCAAAATTGAAATAGAAAAATTTTAAATGCCATTATTTAAAAATAAAATAAAAATTGTTGCAATATTTTGATTATCTCTCTGATAACTGTTACATTTAGAATGGCGCCATCAACCACTTGTGTTAGATTTTGTTTCTCAAATTTGATTACTTGTGGAATAATGACATTATTTCATGTAGTGATCAGTAGGGTAATAAGCAGCATTAATTTGACTTAACATGTCACCAAGTTAGAAGAAAAAATGGGCAAGTTTCCAGAATGTCACTCAATGACTGAAATCTTATCTTTAAGAAATGTGGTTTCTCAACTTTACTGTCAGCATTGAAATCCTGAAAATTCCTTAAAAGTCTGATTTTTCCAATATAAATCATTAGATTGCCATTAGGTAATTTAATTTGTTCTTAGCAATTGCTCTAAAGTGACTACCAATTATGTTTGGCATTTGACTGTAATTGGTGTGGTTAGCTGCTGCTTTTTCAGCAATCGTTGGTAACTTTGGTTGTAATGAGACATCAGCAGACTTTTCCTTGATAGTCTTGTGTACTTCACTCCGTCGGTCACTCCAATACTTCACTGTCAGGTTAGAGATGCTCATAGTCAATCATGATGATTCCCTCAACATCCCAGTACATGGTTGCCATGATTTGGCCTTGACAATTGAGTTCAAAATCCTTAGGCTTGCACTGCAAAAAAAACAGAAAAAGCTGGCTACCTTCTACCGTAGAGCTTGCTACCACCTTATTATAAAGCTTTTTCAAATTTAGGGCATATAGATAGTTACTTAAATAGGCTATATTCCATCTCTCTGGTCATGCCCAAGTCTGTCACATATTGAAATTATTTCATATAGCATATATGTTTGAAAGCAGTAAGTAATCAAATCAATGAAAAAGAAAAAAATTATAAAAGTCACTGCTTTTCTAATATAATCCTTATGTTTCTGAAAGATTCACTGTTCTTTGATTTTTTGAATACAGTTTTTATTTTTTACTATGATAGACAACATATAAAGAGTAGTATCTCTGTGGGATAGGTATACTATAATGTCTGAATTATTATTTTCAAAAAGCTTATTAAGTTAAAAGGAATATCAAAAGATGAATAAATTATTTGGGTGACCTTACTGAGATTCTTATTAAGAGAAAGTTATTACTTTCCCCACAATAAAGTAAATTTTCTATGATAACAGTAAATACACTGAATGCAACTTTTATTTGTAATTCTTAGAAATAAACAAAAATGAATATATTAGTTTAGTCCGTTAATTAAGAAGTTGATCTTTCCTGTCTAGATTCACTGTTCTCTGAGAAAATTTCACTATAATGACCTGCAACTCCTGACCTCTAGTTGTAATTTTGACTGAAATTTCATCCTGGAATCACATTGATATGAAAAATTAACTACAGATGTAGTATTAGGAATTTTGCACATTTAACTCCTTTCAGAATATATGGTCATCAAATATTACTTTAGTGTTTTTTGAGTCACTGCTGTCTAAGAGACATCTGTTATCTAAGAGCTTCTCTATGATCCTTGTTTTGATTAAATACTAATATATACATTTTTTAATTGACAAGTAAATTTCTATATATTTAAGGTATGTAGCATAATTTTATCATATATGTATACATTGTGGAATGGCAAAATTACACTATTTATCATATACATTACCTCACATACTTAGCTTTTTTTTGTGCTGAGAATACTTAAAATCTATTCTCTTAGTAATTTTCAAGTGTGCAATATTGCTTTTAACCATAGTCAACAAGATGTACAATAGATCTCTTGAAGTAATTTTTTCCATCTAACTGAAATTTTGTGTCTTTTGAATAACGTCTTCCTAATCTCCCCAATCTCCAGCCTCTGGTAACCGTCATTTTATTCTCCGTCTCTATAAGTTTGACTTTCTTAGAGTCTACTTATAAGTGAGATCATGTGGTATTTGTCTTTCTTTGCCTGGCTGGTATTACATAAAATAACGTCCTCCAGGTTCATCCATGCTGTCACAAATAACAGGGTTTCCTATTTTAAAATATTGAATATTATTCCCTCATGTATATACCATATTTTCTTTATTCATTCATCCATTGATGAACCCTGTGGTTGATTTCATATCTTGGTTACTGTGAAGAAAGCTGCAGTGAACAAGTGAATGCAGGTAGTGTTACAACATAATGATTTTATTGTCTTTGGTTATACAGGCATACCTTATTTTATTCTGCTGTACTTACTGTGCTTTGCAGATACTGTATTTTTCACAAACAGAAGGTTTATGGCAATGCTGCATCAATATTGTCTATTGGTGACATTTTTCAACAGCATGTGGTCACTTTATCTCTCTGTCACAATGTGGTAATTCTCACACTATTTCAATTTTATCATTATTATGATCATACTTGTTATGATGATATGATCAATATTCTTTGATATTATTAATACTATTGTAATTGTTTTGGAACACTGCAGACCATACCCATAAAAGACAACAAACTTAATCAATAAATATTGTGTGTGTTCTGGCTGCCTACCAACCCACTGTTCCCTCTCTCTCTCCCTCTCCTTGGGCCTCCTTATTCTCTAAGCACAACAATACTAAAATTAGGTCAACTAATAGCCCCACAATGGCTTCTAAGTGTTCCAGCGAAAGGAAGAATTTCATGTCTCTCACTTTAAATCAAAAGCTAGAGATTATTAAGCTTAGTGAGAAAGGCATCTCAAAACACAAGATATATCAAAAGCTATGCTTCTCGCACCACTCAGCAAAATTATGAATGCAAAGGAAAAGTTCTTAAAAGAAAATAAAAATGCTACTGCAGTGAACACATGATCAGACAGTACAGATGCCTTCTTGCTAATGTTGAGAAACTTTCAGTGGTCAGGATAGAAGATGAAGTCATCTACAACAGTTCCTTAAGCCAAAGCCTAATCCAGAGCAAGACCCTACCTAACTCTATTTAATTTTGTACAGTTTTTTAAAACATAATGCCATTGCACACTCAATAGACTACAGTATAGTATAAACATAACTTTTATATGTACTAGGAAACTAAAAAAAAAATTTATGACATGCTTTATTGTGATATTTGCTTTATTGTGGTGGTCTGGAACTGAACCTCCAATATCTTCTAGGTATGCCTGTATATATCTAGTAGTGGGATTACTGGATCATATGGTCACTACATTTTTAATTTTTTGAGAAACCTGCATACTGTTACCCAAAATAGCAGTACTAATTTACATTTCTACCAATGAAATACAAGAAAGGCATCTCAAAACACGAGATATACCAAAAGCTATGCTTTTTGTACCACTCAGCAAAATTATGATTGCAAAGGAAAAGTTCTTAAAAGAAAATGAAAATGCTACTGCAGTGAACACATAATCAGACAGTACGGATGCCTTCTTGTTAATATGGAGAAACTTTCAGTGGTCAGGATAGGAATTAATAACATATAAATGTTTTCTTTTCTTCACATCATTGCTAACACTTATATTTCTTCTTTTTTTACAATGCCTAACTTAACAGGTATAAGATGATACCTTATTGTGGTTTTATTTGCATTTTCCTGATAATTAGTGATGTTGAGTATTTTTTAATATATCAGTTGGCCATTTGTATAATTTTTTAAAGAAATGCCTATTCAAATCCTCAGCTCATTTTTAAATGAGTTTTTTTTTTTTTCTTACTGTTGGGTATTCTTTATATATTTTGGATATTAACCCATTAGCACATGTACTGTTTGCAAATATTTTCTTCCATTTTATAGATTGTTTCTTTTTTCTGTTGATTGTTTCTTTTTCTGTATATAAGTTTTTTTTTTAATTTGAAGTAATTCCATTTGTCTATTTTTGCTTTTGTTACCTGTGTTTTTAGAGTCATATCCAAAAAGTTTTTACCTACACTAATGTCGTGGAACTTTCCCTCTATATTTTCTTCAGTAGTCTTAAATGTTTTTATTGGTTTCATTATCTCTGTGAGCTTTCTTTTAGTATAGCAAATAAACATTTACTTGTAGTTGATGGGGTAACAGCTTTGAATATCTGTAGGCATGATACTTTACTTGAGAGTCATGGTGAAGTAGAAAATTATATGCAAGAGTCTACGGAATGCTTAGATTTCACTTTCGGGTAGATGCGTCATCAATTCCTGCAGACAATAAGAGCTGCTGGCAATACTTATAACTTCACCTGAGAAGACAGGAAAGTCTCATCCCAGGGTCCCATACTTGCAAACTTACATACTGTTATTTATATAAATGTAGTTAGGGGGATGCATCAAAATTCTCTGGCATCACAGATTTGTTATAATGTTTCTTATAATAATCTAATACACTTAAGATTATTCTAGAGACAGATTTGAAGGTCAGATGGGCTTCCAAGTTATTTCCAAGCATTCCTTTAATAGTTGCAACCCTTTTCCTGGTGGGGAGTTGTTTTGATAGCAAAGGAGTATTAAAGAAAATTATATACAAAGCAAAATGAAATAGAAGAAAGGCACATGTTTAAAGTATGAAATAATTGTGTCATTCAGTTTAAACATTTAGTATGATTAATTAACAAATGTTATAGATTGGAAGCAAATAACTGTCAACATTTTAGAACTCTCTTCTATGGAAGCAAACCATATATAGAGTTATTTTTAAAAGAATGCTTAAATTTTTATGTAATATTGTAATTATAAAAGCAT